CCGGTCCTTTTTTAATCAACCATCCACAAGAGGAATAATAAGGTTTAATGAAACCTCACACTGGCATCATGCTATATTCCTGTTGATATTCGAAGCCATTGTGAATTGTGATTACAAGGTTGGTTATGAGGGTCCAAAAGTCCATAAGCAGAAAAAACACTCCAACTGTATTTAATTGCACGCTCATGTCGTCCACAAAAATCTTGAAAGAAAGCGCGAAATCAAAGCCCAAGAGTTCTCCGCCACCACCCATACTATATCACTTGGTATTTGAAAAAGCGCCGTGTATTAAAAATATGCTATATTAGGAACGTTGAGCATCACTCTAGAAGCCACTTTTTTGGAACAGCAACTGGTATTGACTCTTCCTGCTCCAGTGTGTCGATAGGTTCTTCCAGGTGCTTCAAATGACGTTGCTCTAGATCGTGTTGCCAGTGTGCTTTGTTCTGTGGTAACACCATACGCTTGTAGAAAGGGTCCCAAACCATGCCTTGTCGTATTTTCGACAGGATCTGTGAAAAAAACAGTGGATAGGTGAATGTCAGTGTTTTGAACTCTTCAGCAAAGGCGGCACAGAAAATGTGTTGCGTATTACTAATCACAGACGATATGAAAGTGGGTTCCGATAACTAACAGCTGAACTGTCCATAAGTATATATTGTAATTTCTCCAACATTCTTTTGAACACAGTCACGTCCTGATAACTCAATACGTCAGGGAAAATTTATCGAGTTGGGCCTACTTGAAAAGTGTCTTGTAGAATGACACGAAGTCAAGCCAACAAACGTGGAGTAATACTTCTGAATTGGAATATCTTATGACGCATGAGGCTATTTTACCTTACGATTCAAGAATAAAGCATGATGATAAAGTATATATAACCGATGGATCTTACAAAAAAGCTCATCTTCACAATTCTACAAAAATGTTCTCCGACTTAAGGAATGTGGCCAACTAAGGCTGATAAAAAGACGTTATGGTTCTGATTGCCGGCCATTTTTGAAAGATTTTTTTATTTTCAGGGGCGAGACACACTATTTCTCTAAGACTGAATACTTGGTGGGACCAGGAGTGAATCCATGGCCTTTTCTTCGCTTTCCAAATACACTGTTTTTTATCGAGAATTTCCAATAAAGTCCGATATGAACCAAAGCTAACTGCTTTTAGGTAGTTTGAACACTTTCCTGAAGTTTCGTTTAAACAGATGAAACAGTAATGTTTATACATTAACGAATCGTCAGCAACAAATGTTCGGTCGCATTGAGCGTTGTTTTTAGGTGAAGAGGACACAGTGGACAACCAGTGTGTGAAATGGACAGCGAAAGTGAGGGTAACGGATTGTTTCGCTCATCAACAATTAAAAATGAATTGAATCTCAGAAACGAGCAAGGGTATTCCTTAAATTTAACTTCCTGCAGGTGTGAGACGTTTCACAGCCTGTTGCCATTGGCCATTGTTCTTACTTTCCCGTCTCTATAGTTCAACTTCGTGTGAATATAGCTCGCGGCATACTCAGGAAGACTAACAGGAAATTTTGTGTTAATCTGCCTTTCTCGAAAAACCCCGTTCATAGTTCATCTATTAAATCTTCCTTTAACCGTATTGTCGAGTCCCAATAGCACGTTAATATAAGATATTCCATACGAGGTACTTGAGAAATCTACTTTCCACACAGCGGTTTGACGACATCTACCTAATGTGGGACGGGTGTTTAAACTCGGAAACCGTGTTGGTTTCGCGCACATGACTACTTGAGTTCGCCCAGGTGGTTGGGCAGTATCTACAACTAAGTAGAATTGTATTGGTCTCCCAGAGACAGGCTGCTTACAGGTGCAACAACTTGTGGTGCGTGGTATCTCTGGTATAGGCGTTGTGCTCAGCCTCAGGGCTGAATGCACTTTACTGGATTGGATTCCTGTTACTAATTGTTTGCGCTGTTCGGTTGGCTGGCTCAGAGTTCGAGATGGCTCCGTGGTTAAGGCGCGAATTTACTGACCAGCAGTTCTTGGTTCTAACACAACTATGGTATCACGACTGCTTTCAGCTAACTTTGGGGGACCTGGCAGCATCTTAGCCCTCGAGCTCCCTTTGAGTGGCATATCAGCTAGGTATCGAAGTGGTGTTGCATTTAACCGATTATTTATCATTATTCATTTGTTCCGGAATGACTACTGCATATTAGGAGTTTGAAGGTTTGGATGGGGCTACTAGACACCACTTTGAGTTGATCGCATCAAGTTGACAATAGGAGTGTAGAGGCTATTCGCTTGCCTAATCGCGATTGGAAAACGGGATATGTAACTAAAAGAAAATATCCTGTTCAAACACCGGAGTGTCCGACTGAAAACAGTCATAATCGTTGTGTTGATGCGGAATTATCACCAATACTTCCATAATCCGGAGACTACTGAAATACTTTTAGAAAACGTTCCGTATGAAAAAGCATTTGATGAAACCTTGACCGAGGTCTACCAAAGTACTGTTTTCAAGAAAGAACACTAATTAATACCTGGTACTGGCTTCGTAACTTGACTTTCCCGGCTCGCGGCCGTAGAGAGTACGGATATTTGATATCATTCCAGTCCGGTATCGTTCTGAGGTTCTCGATCAAACTTGGATAAAGAGCACGCTTTTCCTGGTCCGTGAGACTGTCATAATCGATTCCCAAAGGTTCGGGTGGAGCAATTTCATCCGGTTCTTGTAGAGTCAATCCGCCTTCTAAGAGGGCATCGTAGAAGGCTTTGATCTACACTCGGTTAATTGTAAACGACGTACAGAACGAACTTACGCTTTCGTTAGTAAGTGAGGCTTCAACAGTATCGAAAAAGAGTGAAACTAGGCCACATTGAAGGCAACGATAGGCAAGGATATGTCCAATATTTTCTGCGGCAGACACGTCAACACAACTGGGTAGTGCTCGTTTACAGGGAGGATATTACCTATACAGATGTTTCTGGATGCTTGGCTCTCGGGTAGAAGCTGAGGTTACGACAGAATTGGAAGAGTGGACCACAATCCCCGTTGTATGGTGTGCAGTCTTTTCCAAATAAACCCTAAATGGTGAAAAATAGAAGAAAAACCCCACTTGTGCCAATAATCTATCCTAGGAGATTGAAACTCCCAGCCTTTTCTCTTCGGTGCGAGGCCTAGAAGTTCAAGATTTCTGACCAGTTGAACAGCCAAAGACAGATAATAGAGATTTACCTAGGGTTTCGATTCTTGTATTGCACATTTGACAGGTATCGTTTGGAAGTCAAGTCCAGTGGCTTGCAATTCCTCGTGGCTGCTAGAAGTGACAATATTGACCCCGATGTAAATGTTCTCATGAGCACAATACCTGAATAGATGAGGGAAACACGGTTACATCATTTTTAACATTTGAATAGATGAAAGTTACTTTGATGCTAGAGTCATCATCATCACTGTCAGCTGTAATACCGCGTACTTTTGGAAGTCAAGTCCAGTGGCTTGCAATTCCTCGTGGCTGCTAGAAGTGACAATTTTGACCCCGATGTAAATGTTCTCATACGCACAATACCTGAATAGATGAGGGAAACACGGTTACATCATTTTTAACATTTGAATAGATGAAAGTTACTTTGATGCTAGAGTCATCATCATCACTGTCAGCTGTAATAACCGCGTACTTGTCGTACAGTGGTTGTACCTGCCGCAGTTTCGTTCACCGATGATTTGGGGGGGGGATGCAAGAGTACGAAGAAGTATCTCCTCAATTTTTTCGCTGAGGAAAGTATCAGCCCATTTTGATCTTGCTTTTCGAAGACGAATTAAGGTGACTAACAGAAGGTAAATTTTCGATCGGTGTCGATCATAGTGTTTGTTCGGACCTTTAGGCAGCCGAAGGACTTAGACTAATAGTAGCCTTCGGGTCATACTCGACTTGGTGTTTGCGAAACATTTAACTAAGTTGAATAGTGTTTATGAGTTTCAGAAGCAGGCGTGTAACATTTATGGTGCAGACAGGACGATATACCCCTTCCAATTTCTTTTACGTGGTTTGGCGTTAGTTTGAGAGAAGTTATGCTGATCCACAGATCCCCAGAATGGACGGAGAAGGTATCCCTAGATAACTTAGTGGAATCGGTAGTAAAGAATCGGTGTTTAGAACTGTTGGGGTGTCGATGACGACAGAAAATAGTGTTGAAATGAGCATGCAGAAGTTATGGAAGTGTTCCTTTAGTGCGAGGAGCTGGAGGAGATCTTCGGATAGAATAAGTCATTGGATGTGCGACTGGGCATTTGAGGCAGAATCTCCATCCTGGAAGAGGAACAAAATCGCCCGTTCCTACGACATTCAGGCTAGTCATTTCTACCCCGTATAAGGACCCTGCAAGGCAGTCAACCCGATGGGGTTCATTTGTTTTTTCAACATGAACCGTGCATAAATGTAGTTCGATTCGGGTTACCGTGGTATCTGGGCACAGAGGAAACAATACAATGGAGAGGTTAATTGAAGTCTGAGATGAGACGAAAACCCGAAGACGAATGGTGTGTTCAAGGTTGGGGTCCGGTGATCGGGTCCAACAGGATCACTGAATTCGGGACCATGCGATATGGGCAACCCATTCGTTAAGTACATGTCAGTGATACCGCAAACTATCTGCAGGATGTCCCCGGGTAATATCCAATGCTGAGCATTTAGCTTCGTATCTAGATCCTGCTTTGCCCACCATGCGTAGTCTTTCAGTCAGGACTTAAGAAACAGCGTGACCGAGCGGTCGACCAAATAACATACGAGGAACAGGACCCATCCGGTATAGTTGGTTCTGCCGTGTCAAATCCTCAAGTAAGCGAGCATGTGACTCATTGCCAGAGTCGATTGAGCATGGGTTATTGTGTACCAAAGACATAGATAATAATAATACACATAGATAATGCTGTCAATCAAAGGAAAGAATTCCCCCACTTTCGGTTGGAAAAGGTTTGGAACCGATTGAGCAGTCATCGTTTCAGAAGAGCTTGATAAACAATCGGTAGTCTTTATTTGGGCAACGTTTCGCTTTTGACCCAAATTGGCTAGGTTATAAGGCAGACGGGGAACCAATCAGTAAGTCAGTCCTCTTCAGATTATCACAGTAGGTCAGTGTTGAGTGTCATTTGCGGCTCTTGTCGGTTAGTGAAGTTGTCAAAATCTTGCTTTGGTGGATTGCAAAGCAAGCAAAGTAATCTGGCTCTCATTGTGAGAGGTTGAAACCATGGCCTCAGACTGACCATCTCTACCAACTGTTCTGTGCATCCTGGGTGTATGTAGATCGGCCGCATTCATGGAAGTATCGGAATGCGCTAGTAAGGGTCCTCAGTGTATATTGGGCGCAATGTGGTTGCATGTTCAGTCTAGACGCCAGTGGTAAACATCTACGACATGTTGTTTGATGAGAGGGACTGGGCACACGGTTCGAAATTTTGGCGTGCAACGAATTCCAGAGGGGGGTACCGTCCACAGGAGGATTACATGAAATATAAGGGAGTTTGCCCCATTGAACTAGACCAAATTTGGTCAAACCAAAAGTGTCGTTAAAAGACTGAAGGGACGTTACTTAGATCACCATGAAAGAAAGTTCAGAAATCAATCCCCATGTGCGGGGTTATTCCACAAAATCCTGACACCAATAACCCAGCTAAATCAAGGTAAGTTAAATAGACAGCAAACAAAACGCTTGCGCTCTTGAACAAGTGTCACTTCCCGAACAAGTTCCATCCAGTACATTCTCCGTGACTGTTAGCTGCATACAGTCCGTTGTGGTACTGTGACGGAATCACACGGAGTCAGCTCAGTTCAGTTGCAAACCATGTAGGGAAGTACGGTAATTCCAGCTGCTTCAACGAGAATAAGGAGAATGAAGGTGTTAGCACGGTCATTCCCTAACAAACTGTTGCATCTCTCCATCTTCCCTGACGCTACTGGGGTTGTAGTCAGAAGACAAGAAGGCAACCAGAAGGAACTGTATATTAACGCAATTACAACTTTCTATATGCATGATTCACTTGTGACCGTATTTGATGGTCGATCCACTGTCAACCAACCAGTGTCTCTTGCACGCCCACACCGTTCTCGGGCGGTTGTTCCTTTGTCTCGGTTGATCATAGATGACCGTCTGTGCGCTTGTGTACGGGGTGCCTTGGCCACCGAATGGGTGTGAACTTTCTGTCCCTTTTTGACCTTTCTCCGGCACATGATGAAATCGGACATGACTCAGACGTATAGGCGTAATCTCACGGCTCTGTTTCACATGGTTGTTCCACTGCTCAGTAGGCTGATGCGCAGCCGTATTACCTCCCGTTTCAATTTGAAACTGTTTTCGGACTGCTTGAGTCTGATCGTATTTTTTCTCTTCTTCGGGTTAACTTGAAGGTAGTTTGGTCGTTTCTGTTTTCGATTTGGTCTTAGCTGTAAACGATGCAGTGCTGTCATGTTCTGGGATAATTCGATAGGTCGAACGTTTTCATCGTCCAAACCGAGCATGTCCAACAAGATGTCCCACTGGAAATTTTCTGCTTCTTGCCAGTATTGAGTTTGCATGTGGTTTGGTCATAGTTGGTTGATATGACTTGTCCAAATTTCTTTTCCAACGTCGATTTCGTAGATAACATTTCCTTTCTTACCCAGGACAGTACCACTGGACCATTTTTCGGGACCTTGAAAGTTTCTTGCGTAAACCGCATCATCAATGTGGGATTTTCGCAATCTGTCTGTCCCATTTGCTGTAGTTCTGATGTCCTTCCTCTTGGGCCTAAGATTATCGTAAGTAGTCCAAACATGCATTCTGCGGGCGATTTCCCACCGGGAACATTTGGGTTTGGGGAATTTCGGTACATTGTCAAAAATTGTTGGAGCGTATTGTCCGACGAATTTTTCGACTTTTTTCTACCTTTTGTAATATTTCAATGATATTTCTCTCTGTTGTAGCTAACTGAGCCGCAGCGCTCTTTCTTCTATTGTTTCATCAGGATTATAGCCGATCTTCATCTGATGTCCGCTTCCTTGAATTTTTCCACTCAAGTAACTAGACTATTAACGTGAGAGAATAAATTCTATCATGCTCTTAATTCACCCAACTAGCTCTCATAGACACAACAGAAGGAATGAGAGCCAGACGGTCCAATTAGTTCATTCATATGAAATGTTTCTGTTTATCCGGTATGACAGAGACTGATACAAGCAATGAAGGCGATAGCCTTGATTCAGGATCGCCAACGTTTGCACGCAACAGCCACTAACAAGTGTTACCTCTGGTTGATCTCAGTAGGGGGAGTTATCTTCCCCGGAAATCATCCGATGTACCTCAGTACTACAGATATGATATTCCACTAGACCCACGGAATTCTTCGGATTTATCCGTGATAAAAACCAGTCTCCGGAGATCTGCACAAAATGGTCACATCTGTGATCTATCTAGGAAGGCACTCTGTCTTTGGTAGCTAAACTGTCACGTGGGCACCACGCGACAAACGCTGACCTGGCCTTCCCAATTTTGTAGGTGACATTGTCTTTTGGCAGACCGTAGAGACTAAAGCATCCAACTAGATAGACTAACTTATCCACCACACCGATTTGTTCACCTGCAACCATACGTTTCGGGTTCAACCCCACCTAATAATGCACGTCGATTTCGTAGATAACATTTCCTTTCTTACCCAGGACAGTACCACTGGACCATTTTTCGGGACCTTGAAAGTTTCTTGCGTAAACCGCATCATCAATGTGGGATTTTCGCAATCTGTCTGTCCCATTTGCTGTAGTTCTGATGTCCTTCCTCTTGGGCCTAAGATTATCGTAAGTAGTCCAAACATGCATTCTGCGGGCGATTTCCCACCGGGAACATTTGGGTTTGGGGAATTTCGGTACATTGTCAAAAATTGTTGGAGCGTATTGTCCGACGAATTTTTCGACTTTTTTCTACCTTTTGTAATATTTCAATGATATTTCTCTCTGTTGTAGCTAACTGAGCCGCAGCGCTCTTTCTTCTATTGTTTCATCAGGATTATAGCCGATCTTCATCTGATGTCCGCTTCCTTGAATTTTTCCACTCAAGTAACTAGACTATTAACGTGAGAGAATAAATTCTATCATGCTCTTAATTCACCCAACTAGCTCTCATAGACACAACAGAAGGAATGAGAGCCAGACGGTCCAATTAGTTCATTCATATGAAATGCTTCTGTTTATCCGGTATGACAGAGACTGATACAAGCAATGAAGGCGATAGCCTTGATTCAGGATCGCCAACGTTTGCACGCAACAGCCACTAACAAGTGTTACCTCTGGTTGATCTCAGTAGGGGGAGTTATCTTCCCCGGAAATCATCCGATGTACCTCAGTACTACAGATATGATATTCCACTAGACCCACGGAATTCTTCGGATTTATCCGTGATAAAAACCAGTCTCCGGAGATCTGCACAAAATGGTCACATCTGTGATCTATCTAGGAAGGCACTCTGTCTTTGGTAGCTAAACTGTCACGTGGGCACCACGCGACAAACGCTGACCTGGCCTTCCCAATTTTGTAGGTGACATTGTCTTTTGGCAGACCGTAGAGACTAAAGCATCCAACTAGATAGACTAACTTATCCACCACACCGATTTGTTCACCTGCAACCATACGTTTCGGGTTCAACCCCACCTAATAATGCGGTAAAACTTTATTATTTGCGGGCACTTTCTTAAGCTGAAGCAAGTGTTTTGTGGTCGACAGAGGACTGGGGCTGATAGTCTGTTAAGGCTCACATGGTTCCTCCAGAGGTTCAATGTTCTTCGAATTCGTTCTGTTCTGTTCTTCCAGGTGTTCAGCTCAGCATTCAAAACGTTTTTATGAATAAACTGGGGTCCCTTCCTTTCTGCAGGCCTCCTAGGACCAACTCATCGGAATATCTGGAATAGGGTGCGACTGTTTCTGATGCCAAAGTCCCCTCTATTTATACGGCCTTCACCATCCGCAAACATACTGCAAATCCTAAGGCCCTTCGTTACGAAGCGTTTGAGGGAATTGCGTGCGACATTAGTGTCGCTTGTTGCCGGTACAATCTTCCCGGCATCAATGGAAGTTGCTGGTCGAGACGAGATCCAGTGTTCATTGGAGTGTTCAATGGCCTCGGACAGACGTATGAAAAGCTGTCTGCATGGATTTTTTTCACCTAATTCTGATCGCAATCC